ATGGCTCAACATACTTGACAGAGTGCTTCTGGATCGTCGTTTTCATATTCGTTCATAGCTTCTAAAAAGGAGTCCACAGGACAAAACTGTGTTTTATTGCATCCTCGAACTTCGGTAGTCAAATCAATGTACTTGTCAAATCCTGATCCACGACGAAACAACACCTAAAACAGACATTTCTGGGGGTTTTTTGGAAATTGGTTAATGATTAGTAAATTATTTGTTCAAAAATTCAACAACGAAGAACCTTTAGGTAGGGTTCCCTTTTCTCTGTTTTCCACAATTCAAATATCACAGCAGCTGTAAACGCAGGGCGGCCTAGAGGAGCCAGTGCAAGCTTCAGCACTCCCATAGAATCAAGTAGTGCTGCGATAGTGACATCATGCTGGACATAGGTTCAATTCGTTATGTCTGAAGAAGGTGAGTTACGCTTACCGTAGAATATGCAAGGAACTTCCTGGAAGTCGAATTATTTCCAATTGCTTCCTCCAAATTTCTTGCTATTGTCCATAATAATTTGCCAGAACGTGTTTGAATCCAAATCGGATTGTGGTATGCACCCACGCCGGACATGAACTCAATAGTCTAAAATTTTCATGTCAGAAAGCATTTTGTGCAAATGTCACATCCAGTAATTCACAAATCTTGGCGCTTTGAACTTTTTAAGGTGAACATTACGGGTTTACCAACCCAATTAGACTTTATTTGACATCTGCATTGGATGCTTTGTACATTGCAGGTGTATAGAAATTTTGGTCAAGCAACAAATATATACCTGCTTTAATTCAACAGTGCTATAATCCAATTAGAAAGGTGGATGCAGTCACTCAGGAACGAGGGCTAAGCTTATTTTAAAACTATACAGCATGGGCGCTTCACTTATGAAAAGCAGAACACAATTTAACTCTCAATTGATCTATCTGAATGCAGTGCATCACAAGAATGCAGGGATAAACAGAACATTTCGAAAGAACAATATTTTTATAGTAATAAGTTGGGAACCGTGAGAGCGGATGTTGCTCTCATCCCATTTTGAATCTGGCTGTACTAATGTGGTCGAAACATTGAAAATAGGTATTGAGACATATTGAATCTGAATGAGATATTGAGGTTGCGCTGTAACGTGCTATTACAATACCGCTCATAACTTCTGCGAAAAAATGTGATTTCTCATAAAAATCCGTCGCAAGTGTCGCGTCATAACTTCTTCCAAAATAGATTTTT